GCTCAATGCTGAAGCGATATATGAGGAAAAAAACGTTCGCTGTGGACGAAGGGGCGTGTCAGGCGGATGAGTTTGGCGCGGTGCCAAACCCGTTCTTCACCAGTTGTTGAAGCGAGCAAGTGACAAGACTGTATCATATCGTTCGTATCACTCGTTTTCTACCAATTGTTATCGCATACCCGCTTCAACAACTGGCAGAGAACAACTGGTGCTGTGGCACCCTGATACTGCATGACACGCCCCTTCGTCCCGTAGCGAACTAGATTAGCCCTTTCTCCTTCGTAAATTGAGAAAAGAGCGGCTAAGGATGCATTCATATGGAGAGTGACGTGGGTGGGCAGGACCCCGCTAGGGTCTGATTCGCCGTGGCGATAGTGCATGGAGTCTATGGAGTCTAATAGCCAGGGAATTTCCGCCGCGCCCTGGATTTATTGCACTGCACTCAGAAGGTAACGATCAGAGTACTTGAGCAGGGTCCATGGTAACAGCATCACAACACCAGAGCGCCCCATTTTTGATTCGGGAAACATTTTTCAATACAATCCTCCCCGAGGGCGCTGGGTCCTCCTCTGATCAGCCACCAATTCCACTCTCTTATCACCCTCCCCGGCATACTAACTAACCTGCTTTCTTCCACTGACTTGAATCAACGATGGTCTAGACACGATCTTTAAAGGACTAATAAACAGACCAAGCCCCTGCTGTCATGGTCGATGTGCAACCTTACTTTAAAGTCAATGAAAAACTAGGTTCTGCTTCTCGGTAATTCGAACAGTTCAAATTTCCAAGGTACAGTTTTTCAGCTTTCAGTGCGTACCTCAAAATAGTACTCGACCTTTGCTGTCATCAAGGATTTGTTCCAGTACTCATCATAGAGTGCAAATCTCCCATCATCCTGAAATACAGTTATGAAATAAGGAACGGTATCAGAGTGCTGGGCTTATTCCCGCCAGAAATCGTATGGACATCATATCTAAAATGTCACGACAACTCTCAAAGGAAGACCATCTTTCACACCATTGCCTACCCTCCTTATCGAACTTCAAAAGAACTCAAGACAGCGGTAAGTGAGTATTCGGTTCACCCAAAAACTGGAAGAAACTGACCGATAGCAAGACTTGGCGTCTGTCATGCCACCGCATTGCTCCAATCGGTGTGAACAAGATGTTTTCCGGCAACTCCTGAAGGCAGGAGCTTCATATTTTAATGAACACTTTATTATTCAGCTTACCTTTGGATAAGTTCGATCGAGCTTGTATTTGCCGTCCCGCTCTAATTGGTAACCATAAACCTCAAGAAAGAGTCACATAGAACTGCCGAAGAGTTATGACCTGT